GCGGGGTGCCGATGATCCCCGACTGCTAGGTGCCGACCAGTCAAGGGCCGCCGACCGTCGGGGTGTGCAACCCTGGTGTGAGATAATTTAGTGTTTTATTCTTTATTTTAATTTCTAATTCCACAGTGAATTTCGGGGCGACTCTCAGCCAAAAGTTGGTTGACTTGATAAGGATGTTGGGGGCGGTTCGGGAGTGTTAGGTTGGTGTATGTGGGTATTGGGGGCCGCTATGGGGGTGTGGGTAGGGTTACTAGGGGTTCTGGATCCCAAAAAAAAAAATAAAAAAAAGTGCGGGGTGCCGATGATCCCCGACTGCTAGGTGCCGACCAGTCAAGGGCCGCCGACCGTCGGGGTGTGGAACCCTGGTGTGAGATAATTTAGTGTTTTATTCTTTATTTTAATTTCTAATTTCACAGTGAATTTCGGGGCGACTCTCAGCCAAAAGTTGGTTGACTTGCAGTTCTGCAGGAGATCGGGCGCTACTGGACGAAAAAGGCTGCTGGCGCTAGCCAAAACAAAACAAAAAACGTCGTGCTGGCGCTTCGGCCAAAGCTTGGCGCGCAGTTCTACTCCACCTCGGCAAAAAGAGGCTGGTAGGTAGTGGTGGTTTACAGGGGTGTGAAATAATTTTAAATTTTAAATGTGCATTGTGCAAGGAATATGAGCGAGAGTGATAAACAGAAACCAAGTTGCAAAATCACACAGAAGTCCAGATAGTCATGTAACAAGCAGAGAGCTCAAGGGCGCCAAGATTCCATCCAAATAAGAGCGATACAGTGAACTCGTGAGCATGACCAAGCCCTCAGGCCACACCAACGCAGTATTCAATGTCACTCCTACTGTCTGGCGCCCTACTCATCCTACCTAGCCTACCTACATTCGTGCAACAGACTCACTTCGACAATGAAGACCAATGTACATGACGTCAAAACCAATGCCGACCTCCCACATAGACCAGTTACGTTCTCTCAACTCCCCCCATCACCCCTTGTCCACCCACCGTCGCCTTCACCTGCCTGCACCCCTGCAGCCCGACTATGGCTGCTTGGCGCCCCGCGTCTCTGCATTAGCGCAATGCAGACACTTGCGCTCAATCGCAGCAGCGTGTCCACATTGCCTGCCTAGGCCAGAATGCCCCATACTGGCTGGCCTCCACCCTATATGGTAGATGCTCTGCTACTGAACTGTCTGGGCCTGGCCATGGAAGTTTCCAGTAGCTTCTGGTTGGGCCCCGGTGTCTGCGCCCAGGCCCTTCTCTACAGTTGAGGGCCTGGGCCCTTTTCAGCTGGGCACACCCAGTGACCCAGGATTATCCAGGCTCCGAATGTTTGCTGTGTTTGCATTGCCCCGTGGGGTAGATGTGATGACAATGCTGCATTCTCATTGGCCCGAGGCCACTTAGTGATGTGTCAGCCTCACACTGCGTGTGCCCAGGGTGCAACCATCTGCGTCCTGGGCTCAACTGCCTGACGCAGCTGCGTCTTTTGGAAGTGCCCAGGGTGAGGCCCAGGTTGCACTTCAACCAACTGGTGTGCAGCAACTGGAAAATGCTTAGATAAGGGCCTCTCGTGGATATTCAGGCCCGCCTTCACTTAGGGCGTGCACAAGGCTTGCTGGGGGCCACAGTCAGAAGATATGGATGTTGTCTAGGGCCCCATGAGTGACCCAGGATTATCCTGGCTCCGAATATTTGCTGTGTTTGCATTGCCCCGTGGGGTAGATGTGATGACAATGCTGCATTCTCATTGGCCCGTGGCCACTTAGTGATGTGTCAGCCTCACACTGTGTGTGCCCAGGGCGCAACCATCTGCGTCCTGGACTCAACTGCCTGACGCAGCTGCTTCTTTTGGAAGTGCCCGGGGTGAGGCCCAGGTTGCACTTCAACCAACTGGCGTGCAGCAACTGTCTGAGACCCACATTGGAAAATGCTGAGATAAGCTAGGCTACCAGAGTCGCCCGGGGTCACTTGCCCGGCCGGGCCAAAAATAATAAAAATAAAAGAATTATTTTTTAAATTTATTTTCTATTCTAAATTTGGTGAAGAATTTCGATGTGACCCTGAGGCAAAAGTTGTTCAGTTTATTTTTCTGCATAACATAGTTTCTTTTCGGATGTTTTGTTGAGTTTTTTTTTTTTTTTTTTTTTTTGCTGGGCCCTTCCTTGGTCCTTGCATGGGCTGGCCACCTGGGACCTGGGCGGCCGGGCTGGTAGCCTAGGAGATAAGGGCCTCTCGTGGATATTCAGGCCCGCCTTCACTTAGGGCGTGCACAAGGCTTGCTGAGGGCCACAGTCAGAAGATATGGATGTTGTCTAGGGCCCCATGAGGACACATTCCTCACAAATGTTTTGTTGTTATTTTTTAGATCAAGTTGCACAATGAATTTTGGGATGACCATCAGCCAGAAGTTGTTTGACTTGCAATTCTGCAGGACGCAGCCTGGGCGGCCCTGCTGGTAGCCCACCTAAGAATCCAGCAACAACAAAAATCTGACCTCAGACTAGGATTTCGCGTGGCCTGAGCAGTCGGATTCCAGCCTTACCTTCTGATTTGATGATTGGTCACTCAGGGAGGGCTGCAGGGTGAAACCTGGGTGACCCAGCTGGTAGCCCAGCGACGAATCCAACAAAAAAAATTGTGCATGGCCTGGGCAGTCAGAATGCAGACTTACCTTCTGATTTCGTCATTGGTCACCCTTTGGGGTGTGCAAGGTATTAGTTGGTTTAAAGCATACATGCAAGCGGACGCCGCGTGGAAAATTCCGCACGTTTGGTGCACGAGCGTACCTGCACGGTGCGGCACACGGGGGAAATATTTACTAAAAAAAAAAAAGGGGTCTCATGGCCGGGTGAATGGTCAACTGAGTCCCCTTTAAAGATCTGTTGTGGGATGGAAAAAAAAAAAACTAGCAGGAGGGTAATGTGGCTACCTAAAGGTCAAGACTGATGTCCCAGACACCTTTTTGAGGCTATTTCTCATGCGCAATTGGACAGAAAGATATATTTGTACGACTGTACTTGAAAAAGATCAGTTCCTTAGGTGTTGCACTCTTCTGTATGTACAGAAACAGCAAAAAAAAAAAACTAAGGAAACTGGCGCATGTACTGTGCACGAGCACGTGCCGCGGACGGTATGGCACACGGAGCGGTTGCAAGCATGGTTCAAAGGGGTTTACCCTATATCGTTACTCTCTATTTCTGACATTTGTTTCCTGAATGCATGCTTGGTTGATCATTATGTGACAATGCACATGCAGGGGATTGAGTTGGAGGTTCTGTGGAGTGTTTCGAGCTTTCCATGAGGAGATGTGCTCCGCTAGATGTGTATGCATGCATGTTCATGTGCATGTGTCTGTCAATTTGTGTGTGTGTGTGTGTCTGTGTGTGTGTGTGGGTGTGTGTGTGTGTGTGTGTGTGTGTTTGGTGCCCATTTTCTCAGTTATAGGTGCAACAATACGTGTCATGCTTGCTCTCGGTTTTGCTTGTAGAATTACAACATTGACCTCTAATCCTCGAGGAGGGGAGTCCATGCTTTAACCAAGTTGGGGTTTTTCATGTGCTGATGCGGCAAGATGGTTTGGTTTTCTGCCATGTCAGAGAACAGGCAGAGCCTGGAGGTGGACTATATGGACTTAATGCATACATACCCAGTACTTGCTGTCTGGTTGGCGGATGCATCACAGCCTATGCTTGAAGTGATGGAAGAGGTTGCCAAGGAGGTGGTATTTAAATACCATCCCAACTATGAGGAAGTGCATAATCAGATCTATGTACGAATAACAGGCCTGCCTGTGGAGGACAAGATCCGAGACATAAGGTTTGGTGACTCCAAACATGTTGCATTGTCATAGCCTTTCTCTCTCTCTCTCACTCTCTCTCCCTCTCTCTCTCTCTCTGTGTGTGTGTGTGTGTGTGTGTGCGTGTGTTGTGTGTGTGTGTGTGTGTGTGTGTGTGTGTGTGTGTGTGTGTGTGTGTGAATCTTGTATGCTTTTTGAGGCACTGTTTGCCCGCTTGTGATGAATTCCAACTGGAATGTCCTGCACTTGCCAGGCGGTCTGAACTGCATTATTATCTCTATCAGTAGATTTCTCCCTCCTCACTGTAATACTTCATATATGATGTCACTTTTTTTCTGTGGCTGGGAATACCCGGACTAGTCATTTGCGTTATTGTATCTGCCAGCCACACGGCTGGGAATAGTCACTTGCGTTATTGAATCTGTCAACCACATCCAGGAGTGCATTTGAACTCAAGATCTGTTTCTTCATGGTTACATGTGAACTGTTCAGCCACACGGCGGGGACTATCTCTGAGATTTCTTCAATTCTCTCTGTTCATCTTCAGTCAGATGTCTAGGCCTTCTGGCCCTTTTCCTAAGTACCCTCTCAGCACCATACCTACTCAAGGGAACTCTTGTTTCACCGAAAAGTTCAGTCTTTTCATAAGCAATTCGAAATGACCTATGCATGCCAGCCCATTATGCATCCCAGTATGATTGGAGTTGTTATTCTGCACAAGGTGGGTAAGTGAAATAAACACTAACTAATATGTTTTGTAGGTGGTTACAACCTTTTTTTTTTTTTTTTTTTTTAAGCAGCGAGTGTGAATCGCCGTGGATCGAACACATGACCTATACATTATTTGTTGGGGGTAACATACTTCTGGTGGGGGTTGGCTTGTCACTGACTGCAGGCAGCTCCACTTGAACACGCTGATCAAAATTTCTGGTGTGGTCACAAGGCGCACAGGGGTCTTCCCTCAGTTGCAGCAAGTCAAGTACGATTGTGCAAAGTGTGGCTTTGTCATGGGACCCTATTTCCAGAACACGTCCTCTGAAGTGCGCGTTGGAATGTGCCCAGAATGTCAGAGCAGAGGCCCTTTCTCTGTTAATGTGGAGCAGGTGAGTGCATCAGGATTAGAGGGGGGTGTGCCTCTTTTACTAGATTAGCATTTCATTGTTGTCCATGTGTCTTTCTAGACTGTCTTGATCCCTGAATGCAGTTTGTGACCTTCTCCTTGACGCAAAATGCATTGATCGATAGAACTAGACCTGGGCCATCTGAGTGAATGCTGCACAGATAGAATTGCTAGCGGAATGAGCTACCGTCTTTGATCGAATAGGATGCCGATAATTGTTGTGGTGATTGTTGTTGTTGTTTTCAATGATATGTTACTTTACTCTGATTCTGGGACTTCTCTCTGTAAGATATCCAAATCGTCCTGATATGTCAGTAATTGTTATGTCTGGCTAATGTGTATTGGACAACTTTTTTTTTGACTTGTTTTGTTTTCAATCAGTGGGGCGGACCTGTGCGGCGCCTCAACTTGTTTTCCTTTCCTCCCCCAGTTTCTTTCATTCCTCAGTCTCCCTTGCATCGCCTGTTTTCTTCATTTCCTGTTTCTTTCCCGTTATCGCCTCGTCTGACGAAAGGATAACCATTTCTTGCTCAGAACGGTTGTGCAATAACCCAAGCCGTATGCCTCGTGGAATGTCTGAGGGCCTCGCCAGGCCGCACTCAGACCCAGGCAAAAGCTGGGAAAAGAACCCCACCTCTAGACTCAGGGCATGGGCGAGATACAGTTGACTAAAGTCAACCGGTGGGACCCAACAGTCAAAGTCCAAAGTGGACCCAGCCCAGGCCGCCGGTCAAACGCACACACTTGTTTGTATGCAGGTACCCAGACAGCATCAGGACCAAGGGGAGATCTGCAACTGTACACAATCCAGGCCCTCGGCTGTGAGTCAATCTGTACGACTCTGGAAAGAGGACCCAAGGCCAGAAAGCGTCATCAAAGGCTACGTAAGGCTGGGTCTCGAAGTGGTCAACATTCAGTCTTGCTATGCTGCTTTGACACTGGCTCGACTCTGACTGGATGCTGGCATTGACGCTGGCTTGACGCTGGCGAAACGCTGGTTTGACGCTGGCTGTGCACAGGCACTGTGGACGATGACGCGGGACTGTGACAGCAGGCTGGTGTTTTCTGCTTTGTGCACCAGGCACTGCTGATGTTGTGCTGCCACCTGTCTATCCTGCTGATGTGGCACATGCCACTTGTCTGCATTGTTGATGTGGTGCATGCCACTTGTCTACATTGCTGATGTGGCGCATGCCACTGGTCTACATTGCTGATGTGGCGCATGCCACTGGTCTACATTGCTGATGTGACGCATGCTGCTTATCTACATTGCTGATGTGGTGCTGCCACCTGTCTACATTGGGTTGCTGATGTGGCACTGCCACCTGTCTTCATTGATGATGTGGCACATGCCACCTGTCTCTACATCTTATGTGGCATTGGCCACGCTGTCTACATGAGGTGACTGGTTGCGACAAGGAGGGAGATCGGAATCTGTGGATGATTGGGATCGGGTACTCACCTGAGGTTGGCATCGTTACCGTAATCTGCTGTTGTCTTCATGGTCTTCACGAGATAAGAGTGCCACGTGGCACTTCTGTGTGATCAGGACTTATCATACTTGTTATCGTGTACTGGTTGATGATGTGGAGGAGAGAGGAAGCCCGGAGAAGAAGTGGGGTTTGATTGGATTACTCTTGGGTGATCATTGTTTATCTCTTTCACCTTCTCCTCTGTCTATTCCCCCTCCATTCTCTTCGTCTAATGGTAACGATATACTGTTTCAGATATCACTTCACGTTAACTGGAGACTTTGGTGTAGATCTGAGACTTCTTGTGCTTTGACGTCTGATGAGTATCTACCAGACTGGGTTCATTACAGTGGCTTCAAGAAGTATATTTAATACTTATTTCCGACGGTAGTTTTCAAGAAGTATAATTATGTCTGAGGATGGTCGAAGAAGTCTGATTAAGGCATACTCACTCACACTACGTCCTTTCGTGGATGTATATGACAGCTTTTCCAACCCCAGCCGGATTCACCTGACGACAATGACGTCCACAAAGAAGTGGAAAAAGTCGTAGTGTGCATACAACCTTATTGCTGATTATGTTCGTTTCAAGAAGTAGGATTATTTCTGACAATTGATGATTGCTGCGAAATTGTTGTGCTGTGTAGACTGTTTACAGAAACTATCAGAAGCTTACGCTGCAGGAGAGCCCTGGAACTGTCCCTGCTGGCCGGCTGCCTCGATACAAGGAAATCATCTTGCTACATGATCTTATTGATTGTGCACGCCCTGGCGAAGAGATTGTATGCAGTCTTCCGTTCACTTGTTGTCTTCATCATTCCCTGAACTCTATGGCCCTGTACTCCCCACCTCTCTCTCCCCACATTGATCTCTTTCTGCTATCAGCTCCACTGCTTCATGCCTACCTTCTTCTCCCGAGTTTAACGCACCCTGATAATCTGATATTGAATGAATGCAAGCTATCTTTCCGGTCCGGTACAGTCATAATGAGGGTGCGTTCTGCTCGGGGAAGACTGTAGCATTTCACCTTCTTCCTTGGCAGAGTGTTCTTGGCATCAGGAATGCTGTGGTTCATTGTGGGACATTATGGGAGATTGCATTTTGGGTATTGATTGAGCAGGCCTGGAACTCCCTTCACCATCTGGAGGATAAACATTTGACCATCAATTGAGCAGATATGGAATTCTCTTCCCCATCTGGGAAACAACCAGGAACTCCCTCCCCCATCTGGAATACAAAGGCTCAGGAAATTGCCTTTTGCCTTCTTCCTTCCTGGGAATCTTGGCATGTGGGACATTGTGGGACATTGTGGGACATTCAGATATGACCATCAATTGAGCAGGCATGGAATCCCCTTCCCCATCTTGGAAATAAACGCTCTTGGATTTTTCTCCAACGTTTGGAGTGCAGGCTGGTCAGCGTGCTGAGCCGTGCTCTGCATGACATCCGTTGGTTGGAACGATACAGAGAAATGTGGCCTTGCCCCTGCGTAATGAAACACAGGAGTCGATAAATTGTTGTCCAAATTAATTAAAAAAAGGCTGGTGTGTTGACTCTGATCCTCCCTGTTGAATGATCTGTGACTCTGATCACCTCCGATTGCTGATGCATCATT